TAAGAAAGCAGGAATTGGTTTGGTTTTCTGAAGCAAGGAAGAGTCACTCGGGAATGAGTCCTCGTAGCTCCTTAGTTAGGTCTCAATTGTAATCACCCTGGGTTGATTTACTGTTGATTAAACTGTGGAAGATCCGCAGTAGCTTGGAATCTCTTAAGCTGACCAAGCCCTCTCAGTCCAAGTGTCCAACTACCCGGCAAACGACTAGTCTTCACCGGGATAGAAAGCTGAAGCAATAAGCACAGAACTCCACTATTGGAATTGGATTCCAGTACAAAGCAGTAGACTGACTAACTCTCGTTTAGCCAATCTACTACTACCGAATGATGAAGCTCTAACAACCTAATCAGATTCTATCTATCCCAGGTTGTAGCAGAAATCAAGAAAAGCTTATCATACTTCAATTAATTCAATGAAACATGCATCATTCGATTAAAACCAAACAGTATAACAATCCCAAGTTATTACAATCATGATCCTAACACATGGAACTAGGGTTCTTCATACCCAAGTGAGAGAAGGGTCTACCCCATAGAGAAAGAGAGGAAAACAGAAATCAGAGTAGTCATACTCATAAAGATGAGGAAAATATGCTCTAGGATGTCAATCTTCACTCCTGGGGACGCAATCTGGACTTCAATGGTGAGAAATCCACACCAAATAGCTCCTAGGGTTTGTTCTTCGCACTTTCTCTCTCTAAAACTATGTTTTTGCTCTGAAAAGTCGATCCCCTCACTTGTGGCTTGAAATTGGGTTAAAACCAGAATTCCCGACTCACACGGGCAGGCCACATGGTCGTGTGGCTTACCCAGCTGCCCGTGTGAGTGTCAAAACGCGGCATTTCGAATAAATGGATTCAGGCTACCTACACGGCCAGGGACACACAGCCGTGTGGAAACTCCAGTATGCCCGTGTGAAGCTTCGCTAAATCCCACACGGCCACATTGGTCTCTTACACGGCCGTGTGGGTTTTATGAGTGCCCGTGTGGCTTCCTCAGTGACTCGCCACACGTCCGATCTTCGTCCAATCGACCCTGAACTCGCTTCCAAAACTTCATTCACGTACTAGGACCTGAAATATCACAAACAAAAACAACCTAGCGTGAAATCGGCCTAAAACACGAGAATCAACATCTCAAACGGCTCAAGAATGGGGGTAAAAACATGTACAATTAACGATCTATCAGTGAGCTCGTTTTTAGATTGAATTGTTGTGCATGTGTGTTGTTTTGGTGAAAACAGACAGTGGACAAGTTTAAGTGCATAAGAGGATCAAAGTTGTGGATGAGGTACCGGCTGTACTTACTGCTGCTAATGCTACAACGAGTGCTGCCGCTCAGAAATAGAAGAAGATGAAAAGACTTCTCCAATGTCAGTTGTTAGTTTAGTTATATATGTATCACCAAATTCGTTTGTGTGTTTTTACGTTTAATAATATTGATTGACTTGTGTACTAGTGTTGCAGTAATCCGTGCATTTTGGTAGTATGGGTACCTGTAATACCCAAACGGGTATTAACGGGTAAGCCATGGGTACCCATTATAGAATTTCTTCATCCCAAATCCCATCCCGTAAAAAATATTACGGGTATTTGGGTACCCGTAACCCTAAATACTCATTTCTCGTTGCCCACCCATAATTCAAACGACGCTTTTTGGGGTGCATGGGCAGCCAAAGAGGTTGCACGGCTGTGCGGTCTGGCCGTGCAATAGCCTGCAACTGCATTTTAACCCAATTTCGGGTTTTGGAGAGGGAGTCGACTTTTTGGAGGAAAAATAGAGTTCTAGAGAGAGAAAGTTTGAAGAACAAACCCTATGAGCTATTTGGAGTGGATTTCTCACCATTGAAGCCCAGATTGCATCCCTAAGAGTGAATATTGACATCCCAAAGCAGATTATTCCCATCTTTATGAGTATGACTGCTTTGATTTCTGTTTTCCTCTCTCTCTATGGCGAATACCTTTTATCTCACTTGGGTATGAAGAATCCTAGTTCCATGGTTAGGGATTTGAGTTGTAATGACTTTTGGATTGATATACTATTTGATTATAATCGTTTGAGGTGTGTTTACTGAGTCAATTGTATCCTGATCAACTTCTCTTGTTTTTTGCTTCAAACTATGATAGATAGAATCTGAATTGATTACACGAGAGTTAGTCGATTCACTGCTTTGTACTGGAATCCAATTCCAGTAGTGGAGTTCCGTGTTAATTGTCTTAGCTTTCTATCTCGGTGAAGACTAGTCGTATGCCGGTTAGCTTGTCTAAGAGTGCTTGGTCAGCTTAAGAGACTCCAATCTACTGTCGGATCTTCCGCTGTTTAATCAACAGTAAATCAACCAAAGGAAATTACAACTTGGACCTAACTAAGGAGCTAGGGGACTAATTCTCGAGTGACTCTTCTCTTGCTTCAGGAAACCGGAAAATTTACTCCTTTCTTTCTGCTTTACTTTGAACTCACCTACATTCACTTAGCCCCGCTAGATAATAGATAATCACGGAGTAGGAAGTACATCTAGGCCCTGGGTTAACATTTATTACTTGATTCCACTATATTGCATTTCCATTCTGCGATTAAACTTGGTCGCAGTTTGGTGTTGTGTCATAGCGTGTCATCAATTAACACAGAACTCCAGTACTGGAACCAAATTCCATTACAAAGTAGTGAATTGACTGACTCTCGTACAATCAATTCACTCCTATCGATTGAAGAAGCTCTAACAACCTAATCATATTCTATCTATCTCAGGTTGCAACATAAATTAAAAGAAGTTGATCAGGATTCAATTGACTCAACAAACACACTTCAATCGATTAAAATCACTCAGTATCTCAATCCAAAAGTTATTACAACTCAAATCCATAGCACATGGAACCGGGTATAAAATGTAAGGAATGATTTGCTCATTCTCGATCGGTGGGGTCAGGACCATTTGATGCGAAAGATGCGCATTCTTATTATCTCAATCCTAACGTCTCTTCACCATGACAACAGTCTCTAAATGATAGAGTTCACAAATCAGATGTCATCACTAGAGGTGACAATTCTCAATCCAATCCACCAATCCAATCCACCAACCCATTAAAAATATCCACCTAATCCAATCCATTTGATCCAAATCCAATTGGATTGGTGGATTCATGGATTGATCCATTGATCCAAATGGTAAATTACGATTTGGTACCTATACTTTTTATATTTTACATTTTGGCACCCAAAATTTAATTTTTTATAAGAAAAATATCATTGGAAAATTATGTTTTGGTACCTAAAATTTTTCATTATGATATTTTAGTACCTAAACTTTTCACATTTTACATATTGGTTCTTGGTTGAGGATGTCATTTGGATTCATGAATAATCTATCAATCCACTTGATCCAATCCATGAATCCACCAATCCATTGGATCTAATCCATTTGATCCATGGATCCACCAATCCAATCCGCCAATCCATTTGCCACCTCTAGCCATCACTAACTAGTGAGGAGGTCTTAGACACGGGTTCAGATGACTGTTTAGGGTCTTGGACACAGGTTCAAATGACTCTCACTCTCAATAGGTTGGATTATTATTGTAATTATTGAAGTTTTTCGTGACATAAATGGAAAATTCGCTAATAAAGGTTGGCATTTCTAGTGGTATTACCCCTAAATAATATATATTATAGGTGACTTTTTATAAAACAATTGTCCAAAAATGAAAAAATCTAACCCCAAGCATATGCAAAACCCGACTTCATTGGTGGCAAGGCGGAAATCTTACACGATCCGCCATAGGCACACACGTGTGTCTTACGAAAGGGATGTGCGAGTAGGGAATCCACCTCTATAGTTGGACATGCATAAAAAGGTACCCGACTGCACCGTTGAAAGGGCGGGTTCAACATCCGAATCTACCACCGATTGAAGCGTGTTAGACGCGCGACTCGCCATCGGCATAGACGTACACGTGGCCCGCTTTCCGGGGGACGGGCTGGCTGTCTATCCACCTGTGCCTTGGAGGGATCGGGTTCAACCTGTCTGTCCAGCGGGGCCTGGATTTCAATCCTTTCGACCTCATTTTTCAGAAAAGAAAAATCAAGCACATCATTACTTTCGTCCGAGCGATGGCTACCTAGAAAAGCGATGCCACAGGCCAAAATCGGCGAAAACTAACCAATGAAGAATAAAGTAGTTGGATTTTGTGTTGTGTGGTGTTTGATTTTAGTTTTTTCTGTTGATGATTGTGTTTTCTACAAAGAGAAAGAGCGGAAAAGTGTTTGGGCAAATTGGGTCTTACAATATATGAGTTTTGAATCCTACAATTAAAATGAGGATAGTTGAATAATTTCTTATGACTTAGAGCGATAAATTCAAATTAGTTTGGGCGGTAATATTAACTCTTTATAATTCCAAAGGTTGTCAAGCCAAGGGTCGACTCGTCGGTTGATCCGTTTTGACCCCGACCCTTTGACAAAAACGCACAACATATTCCCGATGGTCGACTTGGTGCAAGGATATCGGGTTGGAGATCACACAACGTCGTTTTTCTTTTGGGCTTTGCAAAATGTCTCTTTTATGATTTTCCTCCTCACCTAACCCTATTATTGGAATTCGAAGCTGAATATTCGAATATTGAAGTTTTAATTTATAAATTTTGGATGAGATTTGACATAGTTTATAAATGTATGAAAAATATAATGACTATTGTATATATCTGGGGTAAACCGAACTATTAACAAACAACCCAATTACACGTAGGGGTGTGCAATGGTCCAGTTTAGACCGGATTATACCGGACCAAATCAAAGTTTGGACCGGACCACGGCTAATCGAGTATAATGCGATCCGATCCTTGGTCCACATGAATTTTACAATTCCTAAATAAATGATGGACCGAACTGATATTTGAACCGGACCGAAGCAAACCGAACCAAATGAACCAACCACTATAATAATCTAGTTATAAGATGTCTTTCACTAATAAATCGCTGTTTTCATGATCAGACCGAACCGTTACACGACCAGGACAACCGGCTGAATTTGACAAGGTTGATAATTTCCTCCGGCTCTTCCCGTCCCGTCGCGTAGATTCCTTTTTCCTATATCTGTTTTTCGGTTTTTCCCCATTCCAATTTCCACATACGTCTCCTCCAGTTCGTTTTCGTTCTCAAGATCAAAGCCCTTTCGTAGCCTTCCCGACTCCTCGTTGAAACCTCCTTGACTACAATAACAGATCGACCGTTTCCTTCGGTAAGTCTCTTTCTCGCTTTCAATCTTACAAGAGCAACCGACTCGATCTTTGTGCACTTAATCTGGATCCTACTTCAAATCACGTTTCTACTGTCAACCTTGTTGTGAATCTGGAGCGCGATTACGAGTTACTGGCTTTCAGATATTCTGGGCTGGGTTAATTTCGACTGAGGGTAGTCGCTGAATTTGTTGGGGTTGACCCTTTGAGACTTAGTTGGAGGATTAAATGCTTTTGGTTATGCTTAACCTTTTGGGATTTCTACGATGTTACGATCTGTTGTAGTTAAATCAAAATCTGGTTAAGTCGTTAGAGTTCCATTGTACTTCTTGTCTTTATGATATAGACACCAGTGTGATCAGATGATGTGTTGTTGGTGGATTTCCTTCCGCTCGTTTTACCCGCATGCCATGTTTGGATTGGCATTATCAGTTGATGCCGAGCCTCTCAAGTTTGGATCTTGGATGGATTTAAATGTTGTTCACATTGAGGATTATCATGGCTTCCTCGTACCTTTTGGTTTGAGCCATTTGATTTATATTATTCCGAGGGGTATCTTATTCCCCATAGACATGTACTGATCGGCTAAGTTTTGCTTTCTGGGATTTTGTGATTGAAAAAGATAAAGAATCTCAGGAAGAATGGAGTCCAGCAGAGGTAATGGAATTCAACTCCTTCTAGCTGCAGAGCAAGAAGCTCAGCACATTGTCAATGCTGCAAGAAACGGTAAGCCCTTACGTCCTTGTTATGCATCGTCATATTACACCTCTGATTATTCATTTTCAATATATGGGTTTCATTCTCATGGCTTGCTGTAGTTTGAAGTTGTGCAATCTTGATTAGTTTTTTATACCAATAGTTAGTTTAAAGCTATTAGATATTTGTCGTAGTAGGTTAGAATTTCGTGTAAAGGCTCGGACTGAATAATTATCCTATATCTTAAAGCTGTTAGATATTTGTTGAAGTTGGTTAGAATTTCATGTAGAGGCTTGCTGTAGTTTGAAGTTTTGCAATCTTGATTAGTTCTTGATACCAATAGTTAGCTTAAAGCAGTTGTATATTTGTTGAAGTTGGTTAGAATCTCATGTGAAGGCTTAGACTCAACAATAATCCTATATGTTGAGGCAGTTCAGTTTCGTTAAAGTGGGTTCCTAGCACTTGTGCCTTCATAGCGTTTCCCTCTGGACTCCTGAAACATCAAGTTTCAATTGGAACTCGTCTAATCTGGAAATTCAAGACCATTGTGTTGTTTCGCTGGTGAATCTATGTTATTGTATAAACTTTACAGAAGTTCTTTTTTGTTTTCGATTCATTAGTTGTTTCCTTAAGTGAATGTAGAAATGATGGGATTAGTTGTTATTGTTTTTGTACTTGGATTGTCCCATAACAGTTTCCTTCTCCTTCAGCGAAATTGGCTAGGCTGAAACAAGCCAAGGATGAGGCTGAAAGGGAAGCTACAGAGTTCCGTGCCCAAATGGAAGCTCAGTATCAGAAAAAGCTGACAGAGGTAATCTTCTAAAGAATTTGATGAACCTCATTGTTTGTGTCCCATGCTTGTTTAACTTCCCATCAAGTTGCTTGTTTGGCACATTACGTCCTTGTACAAAGAGTCTGACTTCCTTGTACTCCTGTGGAAAACAACAGACCAGTGGCGACTCTGGTGCTAATGTAAAGCGGTTGGAGCAAGAAACCGGGGTGAAGATCGGTCACCTGAAGTCAGATGGTTCTAGAATCTCTCATGATGTTATAGACATGCTGCTGAGGCAGGTTACCACGGTTAAGAACTAGAAGGATATTTGATTGATCGATAATCTGGTTGGACAGATTGTTTCTAGAGAGAGAGATGAGCATTGTGATATGTAATATGTTAGAGATATTGGAAGTTGATAGCTTGGTATGTATGTGATTTGCCTTCGAACCTACATGATTTTATGTCGTACTATTTGATCATGTCCGTTTCTGTGGTGTTGAATAAAATTTCCCCGTTTTAAATGATTCTTCACGTATTATATAATGTTGGGGTAAATTACAACTGGATTTACTATGTTAAATTACTAAAAATGTTTAAATTACTAAAAATGTGTAATCCCATTCATGGTCACTAAAATTAGTTAAACACTCCCCGTCCAATTTTGTTAAATTTGTCTGATGTAACACTCAACTCTCAAAATTATTTGTTAACTAAATGACATGACAATTAAAAAATAATATATAAACTTTAATTAAATTTTTTACAATTTTCAACTCATTTTCACAATAAAATAAAATAAATAAAATTGAAAACAATTATTAGAATTACCAATGACGAGATTGTCGACGTGCTGCGAAAGCACACCTACGATGACGAGCAGGAGTAGAGCCGCCGGAAAGGGCAGTGGAAATAGAGCAGCTAGCTCAATTCCAATGGTTACAATGTTAGGTCGGAGATGGCAAATTACCCACCATGGGTAATTATACACAAACCCAAGTAGACCCATTGATAATGGGTTGGGTATGGGTGAAGTGCATATGGATTTGGGGGTTTATAGATGGGTTTGGGTAAGTTATGAATATTGCTTCCATAATTAAAGCTTGGTTATGGGTTTGATATGGATATCCATTTAATTACTTGAGGGTGTTTTAACTACACATGCAAAAATTGGACCTATTTGTAAAACTTGAAAAGTTTAGCTACCAAAATGTAAGACCAAAAAAGATTAGGTACCAAAACATAATTTTCCATCGATATTTTGAGGACTTATATTCAAAAAAAATTAAATTTAGGTACTAAATATGCATATCTATTAAGTTTGGGTACCAAACTGTAATTTGTATTTGGGCATGGGTACAAACCCAAATCCATTTGATATAAACCCAACTCAACCCAAAGTAAATGGGTATGGGTGCAAACCCATCAAACTCTACCCATATCCATCTATTTGGATTTCATACCCAACCCAATTGGGTTGGATAGTAAGAAACCCATGGGTATGGGCAAAGTTGCCATCCCTAGTCGGACTGACTCATGATCCCCAAGCAGCACGCCGAGAAGCATTTCCCGATAAGCGACAGTAGCGGCGGTTTGAGCAGCAGACTGCTGATTTTTGAGGATGCGGTGGAGAAAGTGGTACTAGAATAGCAGCCAGAGCTACGTACTGACGAAAGGGTGGAGTTCGTGAAGGAGAAGGGCTTGAAATCCGACAACATTGTCAGCTTACTGTTGACACCTAAAATTAATTTGGGCCGAAATTAAATGCCGCATTTATTAGTCTCAGCATTTAATTCGATACCGCGGGAAAAAACGGTGTCGTTTGGAGTCAAGCGGCGTCGGGGAGAGTCAGTACGATACCACGATACAGGAAAACGGTACTGCAAGGAAGCTTAGCGGTACCGCGGTACTGGAAACGGCACCGCTTACCGAGAAACAAAAGGGGCCGCGTGTTTAGTGTGGGTATTGGAGAAGGAATTTTCTTTAATTAATTATTATTATTCTTATTACTTGTTGGATGGAGAGAAGCGGCACCGCGGATTAAAAAAAAATCATGGCGGGTAAGTGATTGGCCCAAAAATCTGCCCAGCCAAACATGCAAAATCGCGACAATTTGATACGTTGGTATTTCTTTTTATTATTTTAGGCGGTGTGGTTTAATTCAAAACGGTACCGCAAGTAGGCCCAACGGTGCCGATGTACTAGCAAACGGAGCTGATTAGGGAAGAAAACGACACCGCTTAAGGCATCAACAGTGCCGCAAAGTGAGAGTTTGACGGCGTGTTAACAATGATGGCTGGTTTAATTATTTAATATTTTAAAGATTATTTTGGACAGTGTCGTTTTAGTAAGAACGACACTGCGAGTGAGTCCAACGATGCCGCGGTAGTTAAAACGACAGTGTTTTATTTAAAACAATGTCGTTGAGTAAAGAAGCAGACAGAGCTGTTAGGGGAAGAAAACGGCATCGCGTGAGATTCACACCAACCCGAGCGAGGAGGAGGTCAAGGCGGTTGAGACACGTGGGAGTTCACAACGGAGCAGTTGAAGAAGCGGTTTCACGGAGCGTAAAGACTACGAAGATGTTTTTCGAATAAAAGCAGTGGAGCTTGGAGAGAGAAGGGACAACCAAAATCAACACAGAACAACTCTGTCAAAACTTTACCTTTTCTCTGTAACTCCTTCGCGGAGCTCTCCTTCCAGGAAGAATCTCCATAGTTGTAGTCTTAGTCGTAGTCGCGGAGCTCTCCACAGGAATCTCCATAGGAGTAGCGGTAGTGTAGATTCCTCAAAAAACTCAAACACCCTCGTTCGAACGTAGTTTGGAGAGGTGCGAACCGTAGTAACGGTCGTTCTTGGTTAGAAGTCAGAGGTGCATCGATCAAATCAACACCGCCGGTCGGTGGATATTTGACGATCATGTTGATTTCACCATTTAGAGGTGCATCGATCAAATCAACGGCGCCGACATTCGGCGGCGGATATTTGACGGTCGTCTCCATTTCAGCAATCAGCGATGCATTCGATCAAACGGCACCGCAAGAGTTTCCACCGCGAAACATCAAATCAACATCGCCGGAAACGAATTTGGCACCGGCGGTGGCATTTGGTTTTTCCCGAGGAAACACTAACATAGGTTCGCATCCCGACAGGAGCAGGAGGAGCAGCGGAATGTGAAGGTGTCTGATTCCCATCTCTATGTCTCTATCATAATGGAATGTGAAGGTGTAGAAATCATAACTCCACTCTCCCTCTCCAATTAGTGAAGGAGAAAGAACACTCATCATCGACGATTTCCCTCCTTCGTCTCTAAATATACATTACAACAAGTATCCAATCTAATGTAATGTAATGTAAGGTAATGATAGATCGCCTCTAAAAGCAACTCATCACTTTCCCCTGATGTTTCTCCTCATCTTCCATAACCAATAAAGCCCACTGAAACACCAGAAGTAAATTAACCGAGTCTACGTGGGAGTAATGGGAAGAGATCAGTGAGGGAGATTGAGATGGTGGCGTTTGAATATGGCAGTAAAAAACAGAGGATCTTTGGAGCTTTGTAGCAATATCATCATCACAACCTTGCTCAGCGCTACGTTGACCAGCCAGCAAACGTGTGTTGACGGGTCGGTGCAGAGCGGCGGTGCGGTGGTGGTCGGGGCGCCGACATTGGGTTTGTCGCCGAATGTGAACGCAACGTGGCTGTACAGCTCGCCATTGGCAATTCTAATAATTTTTTTTTCTATTTTAATGTGAAAATGAGTAAAAATTGTAAAATATTATATTATATTTTTTATTTGCCACATTAATTAGTTAAGTGTCAATTTTGAGAGTTGACAGCCACATTATAGAAAGTAACGGAGTTGGACGGAAAGTGATCAAATTTGAAATATTTAACTAATTTTAGTGATCACGAATGAAATTAAATACTTTTAGTGACTAAACGTGAACGTTTTTAATAAATCTAATGACCAACTTTGAAATTTACACTATAATGTTGGCAAGTAAAACCATGACAGGATGCTCGAGTATGAATCCACAAGACAATCTCTGATGGTATCCAAAAAACCATCTCTTATGGGGGCACTTCCACTATGCTTCCACCTCCACTATGCTTTGAAGCATTGACACTTTAAAGTAAAACTTGAAATTAGACCATAACGTTAAAAGTCTGAATTAAAGTTGTATTACAACATAAAAGTAAAACTTTATTTTGTACCATAAAAAAATTTATATGATAAGAATATATATAACTTGAAGTTGTACCGTAAATACAAAAACTTAAAAATCCAATGCTTTAAATCATTGTAAAATTTCTCTCTTTAATGGTGTGCTAGAACCTTCAACATGTCAACAGTTGTATATTTATTCAAAATTGGGCTTAAATGGGCTAAACTGGACAGAGTAGGAAGATTAAGTTCTATGCAAGGCTTGGATTGAAATTTTGGACGACGTTTCAGTTAGCAATTATCAATCTACGATCATATTTTGGAGGTGAGTAGGAGTCGAATTTACATCTAAAGGATGGCGGTTTCACATACGAACAGGGCATGAATTCTCGATGGAAGACTATCTTCCATCAATATGGAATCGTGGAATGCCGCGTCGAGGAGAGCAAGCGTAACGCCAATGAGCAGAGAGAGCCTAAACGATGTGGTTAGTCAAATTCTTATATAATTATCGTGCATTTTATTTTTAATCATGTAGTCAATTATGTAGTTTATACTTTTTAATCTACTTGAATTAATTGTTTAGGTTGAATGAGCAAGAAATTGTTTCGCAGTGCAGACCATAACACATTCCAAATTCAATTATTGTTGGGATAGACTCCAAATTTTATGCATCAATTTATTTTCCCCATATCTCACATTCCACCAGTGGATGGATCTTCTTGTTTAAACAACTAATGGATGGATCTTCATCGGTCATGCCAATTGAGGAAAGTGATAGCTCTGACGCTCAAGCAAGTGTGACTCCTTTTTTAATCAACCGTCCTGAAAGCCTAGATAAGCAAAAGAAGAAGATAAGATGGACTCCACGTTCTTCCACGGAAAATTGGGGCAAGTGCATGACCAATTTGGTGGTGAGTTCAAACACATGCACAGGGTTAGCATTAGCTAGTGTAACACGAAGTTGCAAGAGAAGTAAGAGGTAAAGCGAGAGAAGCAAGAGAGAAGAACATGCATGAGATGGAGACAATGAATATTGATATTTTTCTATATAGTCCTCAAACTAGAGCTTAGTATCAGAGGTAAAAAGATGGAAATGTAGGTTCATACCAAAATGCTCCGACATGATCTACTTATAGCCCAAATGATGACTCTTACGATGCCCACAACATGTAATCTTTTAAGCGAACTGCTTTATTTTGAGTGTATTTTTTTTATCTAGTTTGATTTTCTAAAAAATGTTTGCTTTATTTTGATTGTAATTCCGTGACTATTAATGTAACTATTTTCTTTATTGTTTAAAGGAGAAAACCTTTAACTTTTATTAAGTGTGGGTAGTGAAATGTAAGTTAC